GGCTTTTTGGGGGGTCTGGCAGGTCCCCAGGGAGGAGCAGAGGAAAATAGCAACAGGATGAGGTCACGCAGCGGCTGCAGCCTCTTGAGCAACCTCAGCCCGGGCCGAGGGACCAGGGTGGGAGGAGGCAGAGCCCCGGCGGGTGGGGGGGCCCAGGCGACGCCCCCGGACCCCCAGACTGGAGACCACATCCTGGGGAGCTGCCACGTTGGTCTGGGGAACCGCGGGGACCCCCAGCTTGTGTTCCTGCCTGAACCCCAAGGCAGAGGTGCCTGTGCCAGAGCATTTCCAGGCTGGGTTGTTTAGGAAATGGCCTCCTGAAATGACATAGGGGGTCCCAAGCCCTGTTTGCCCCACTGCCAGCCACCAGTAATGCCAGAGCACGGAGCCCACATCCTTCTCTGCCCTCCTCAGACCCTCATATGGGACTTTACCCACCCCCTTGTGGATAAAAACACCTTTGCAACACCCCCCTTGTGTGATCCCCTTCCCCACTTGCACCCCAAAATGTGGCCCCTTACAGTGGTGATGGTGAGCACCAGGGCTCCTGCCTTTTGCTGACAGGGAAAGAAAGCAGGAAACACCCCCAACCCCAGCTGGATTTCGTCTGGGAGGGGACTGGGGGCTGCCTGCCCTTCCCCGGCCTCCCACACCCCCTCCCCATCCCGGCCCTAATGAGAACAAGCTGGTTCTGGGCTGCGACGCAGGAGGAGGAGGAGGAGAAGGAGGAGGAGGAGGAGAAGAGGGAGAAGGAGGAGGCTCCATCCCAGCAGCAGCAGAAAGGGGCTCGAGGTGTGTGGGACAGACCCTGCGTTCCCCTCTCCCTTCTGCCGACGCAGCAGCTGCAGGTGAGGTGAGGATCCCACGGCTGTGCCAGGCTGTCCCCGATTTTGGGGGGGCTCCCAGGGGGGCACAGGCAGCCCTATGGCCGGGGGGGCTGCAGTGAGGGCTGGGCATGGTCCCCACGGCGGGACACGGGATGGTGTTGGCCACATGGCTGTGTTCCCAGGCGGGAGTCAGAGGGTGCTGTGCCCAGACAACACTGAAATCCTGAATTTCTGGAGTGTTTTGGGAGCAGAGAGAAGCAGAACTGGAGCCAGGAGCATTCTGTTGGTCTGGGTGGGTGAGGGTGGGCTGGGATGGGGTTGGGATGGGGATGGAGGACTGGCAGTGACCGTGGTGCCAGGCCCTGCTCTTGGCACAGCTTTGGGCTCCACTCAGCCCCTCCATGGCCGGGGCTGCTCCTCAGCTCCATTTGCTGACAGGGAATTGATGCCATCCTGGGACCCCTCTCCCTGCTGAGGGGCCCCTCTCTGCAGTGAAGGGGGAGGATGAAGGGGCTCATTCCAGCTCCCCAAAAACCCTCATCCTCATGGAGCTGGTTACTGCTCTGAGCCCAGCACTGATGCCTGTGTGAGCCGGGAGGGTCGGGGGTCCGGGGGCACCTCCTGCCTCTGCTGCCGTTTGTTTGCTCTGGTTTAATGGAAACCAGATTGTACAGCCAGGAAGGGGCCTGGAAGCCAAGTCCTGCTGCTCGATCCCTCCCGGCCCGCAGCACTGCTGGGCTGGATTTGTCTGGGGGGAAATGGGAGGCGGGTTGAGATTTGGGGGGCCTGAGGTTGGGGGGGAAATTGCTGGGGGGGTGGTGGTCTCTGCTGATGGAGCCAGGGGGGGCTAGTTCCTGAGACCTTCCCATGGAGCCGTGTGGAGGGGAAGAGCCCTGGGAATGGCTCCATGGTGTTACGTGGCGTGGCACGCACTGATGTCCCTTGAGAATGTGTTGCGACGTGGTGGGGACGGTCACATCTCTCTCCCAAACCCCCCAGGGGCCATTCCTTTGGGATGGGAAACGTGTATCCCGTGTCCTACAGCACATCGTTGGGCAGACCCAACCCCATGGGGGAGTGGAGCACAGCACACGGATGTAGCTGGTCTTCCCCCTTCCCTGGGGACATTCAGGCAGCCGGGACCCCCAAGACCCCCCATTTCTGTGTCCCAGCTCCAGGGCTGCCCCTTGGTACAGGCTCCAGAGGGTCCCATCCCGGCTCCACTCGGCTGCCGTGGCGGCTTCAGGGTGAAATCCTGCCCCAGCCTATTTTTAGCTGGGAATGGTGTGTAACGGTCCAGGACGGGCAGTTGGGAAATGCCGCCCGGCCCCGTTGCAGCGTCGCTCGTGTCAAAGTTTCCACTGCAAACCTCCATTTTTCAGGAATTTTCTAATCAGCCCAATGACTGCTGTCTGGAGCTGGTCGCTGGCAGCAGCCCCGGCTCCCCAGCCTTGAGCAATCCCACTCAGCTCCTTCCATCTGGCTTTGCTCCGCATCCTCGGAAGACAAACGGAGCCCCTCGCTCTGGCAGAGAAAGAAAACCGGAGCCGCCTTTTGATTTCCACGAGGAAGTTCAGGCATGTGGAATAGCGAGTGTCGGAGTCCCCTGTGCTGGGGGGTTTGGGGTGGGGGCTGGCCTGAGGCGGGGTTTGGGGGGCTTGCTCTGTGGGGTGTTAATGTTCCACCTTCCCCTCTGCATTCCCACAGGTCCTGTGCATGATCCCGGGGAATGGGGCCGGCGATGTGGCTGCTGCTGCTGGCACTGCTGGCGGCCCAGCACACGCGGCAGCCCCCGGTTACCCCCAGTGCTGCCAGACACGGGGGCAGTGGGGACGGGGGATGAGCTTGGCCACCCACCCGCCCCCCAGTGACCCCCCGGATCAGCCCACGGTTGGGGACGCAGGGGGGACCACCGTGACAACAGCTTGCCCCAGGAGTGCTGGACGGGCTTGGTGGACTTCTTCAAGGAGTACCTGCTGCTGGTGGTGGTGGTGGGCTCGCTTGTCCTTCTGCTCCTCTTTCATCATCTGCCGCCGCCATCATTGTGCGCCAGAAGCACAAGGCCTCCGCCTACTACCCCTCGTCCTTCCCCAAGCAGAAGTACGTGGATGAGCGGGACAAGGTGGGGGGGCCCCGGGCCTTCAGCGAGGTGCCCGACAAGGCCCCCGAGCCGGGCGCGGAGGAGCCGCTGGACGGCAGCCGGCAGCTCCAGGCGGACATCCTGGCAGCGGCCCAGAGCCTCAAATCCCCCCCCAGGGCACCGCTGGCCAACGGGGCCCAGGCTGAGCAGAATCCCACCGGGGAAGAGGAGAAGGAAGAAGAGGAAGGAAGCAAGAAGTTGGCGGATGACCAACCTGCTAAGCCCTCTCCCCAAAATCCAGGTGTGGAGGAAGTGGCGGGAGCGACGGGAGCAGGGGGCAAGGAGACCCCTGACGTGCCCCAGGATGGCTCCTCAGCCCCCTCTGGAGTCTGAGGCAGGGACACGGTCCCAGGTGAGCCCGAGGAGCCGCCAGATTGGGACGCATGATGGACATGGATCAACGCTCCGTATGTACGTGGTGGCTCAAGGAAGCCCCGATGAAGACCCTGCTCCCTCACCCTCCCCAGCCCCTTGAGCCCCCTACCCTTGTGCCAACGGGACACTGCAGTAAATCCACGGGGTTTTTTGGTAGCCACTGGTTTCCCCCAGGGCTGGAATGCCAGCAGCCCCTGCTCCTGCTGCCCAAGGGGCTTTTCCCACCCCAGCTCCGGCTCTGCCCTCCCTGTGCCAACAGCTTCCTCCCAAACGTTATTTTACTGATCAGTCTCCTGAGCTGGACACCTGGCTGGGAGCTGTGTCCCTTCAGGAAGAGGGACAGGACCAGGGCCAAGGTCTGTAGCTGTCCCCTCCCTGGGCAGCGGGGCAGGGACTCCCTGTGACCATGGGCATCATGGGCGGCTTTGCCCATGGCTGTGGCACTGAGGCCACATGGACAGGCTGCCCTTGGCCACCCGAGGGGAGGAGGGATGAGGATTTAGGGACAAGGACCCATCCTTTCATATTTTCACCCCAAAGCATGTCCCAGAGCCCAGCTGGACTTTTGCCTCATTTCCTTAACCCGTCTGGCTAGAAATAAACATTTCTTCTGCAGACCTTTTCCGTGTTTCTCTGCAGCTGTGGGAGGCCAGGGGACATTCCCAGTGTCCCTTTGCTCCTACAGGACCCTCCCTGGACTGGATTGGGCTCTGGCCTCTCTGGAGCCTGGCAGTGGGACCCTGGGGAGGCTGCGTATCACCCCCCAAATCTGCACGTCACGCACCGGTTCCAGGAAACCCTTATCTTGTACCCACAGCCCAGGGCAGGGGGGGGTAAAGTGGGGCTGTGGGGACCAAAGGGGCACTGTGGGGGACCTTGTCCCACAGCACTGGGATGCAGCTGCTCCGGCAGGGATGGCAGGTAAACCTGGAAGGCGAGAGGCTGTTCTGCCCGGAATGCAGCACATCCCCACTCCCTGCTTCCCTGTATCCCTGTGTCCTTACAACCCAGATCCCTGTGTCTTGTCCCAGCCACAGGAGAGGTCAGTATGTGTCCATATGTCCCTGCCTCAGGACAACCTGCCCTTTAGAAGAGCCTGTCAGCACAAAGAGCTGACTCTGCCCCAAAGTAGATGTGGGTGTCTGAAGTTTCCCTCCCTCATTTTTCTTTTTTTTAACTGGGAAACAGCAGGAATGTTCCCCGGGAGTGAGGCACTCTCTGGCAGGAGCTGAGGTACAAGAGGGACCTTGTGAGGGACAAACCACAGCAGCAACAGGTGTTTTTTTGTGTTAAAAATGACAAATATTGTGCCCAGATGTACCAGAATGAACCGATTGTTTTTTAAATGTGGTTTTAAATGTTTAACAACACCCTCAGTAAGAAGAAAGGGAAGTGAAGTGTCTTGAAGGAGTGAGAAGGTAAGATGTGAAGTTTTCCAGTGTGTTTTCTGCCTGTTTTGAAGATACTCCCCTGGAAAAGAGGAATCCCGGGAGCTCCCCCTCAGCTCCATGTCCCAGCTCCACTATTCCCCACTGGGTTCCAGTCTGAGGGGGTATTTCATAGAATCCTGAAATGCTTTGGGCTGGGAAGGATCTTAAAGCTTATCCAGTTACAACTCCCTGCCTTTGTCAGGGACACCTTCCCTTAGCCCAGGATTTACAGCTGTAACAGAGAGCTTGGCCAGGGCAGGGGTAGAATTCTTAGAGAAAACACCCCAAAATTCCAGCTGTTCTTTTAACAGGAGCTTCAAAAAATTTAAGCGGTGACAGGATGGGAGCAGAAGCCAGCAGGTCTGTGCTCCCTGGCCACCACTTGCCCTTTGGCACCTGCTGAAGGGTCCCAGAACTCCAAGAGCAGGAATTTGCACTCAGATTGAAAAACCAACCCCAGCTCAGTGGGACACAGGCTGAGCGCAGCTCTCACACACACACAACACCAAGGCAATGCTTCCCACTAAATTCCATAAAATATTAGGCAAAACTAGACATCTTCCCCCCAAAAAAAAAGAAAAAAAAAAAAAGAAAAAGTGCAGCCCTTCCAGTACCGGCCAGCGGGCTTTTCTCTCTGGAGCAGAGTCTTCCCGCGGCATTCCAGTGGGGACAGGGCCCCCCCATCCCGGCCGTGTGAGCACTATGGAGTGGCTGGACACCACCAGGGACACGTTGTGCGTAACTTGTGCGTATCTTACAGCTTGAGTAGTGCACTGGGTCCTACTACAGCTCGGGAATTGCACTGCAAAGTGAGGAGGAAGGAGGAAAAGCTCCGCGGTCAGTTCAGGCATTGTTGGCTTTTTTCTCGGATTCTTTGTTGGGATCCTGCTTCAGTTTGTAATCAGCCAGGGCGGCCTTGATGGCGTCTTCAGCCAGCACTGCAAACCAAAAACGTGGGATTTTAAGGATCATTAGAAGGCTTTTAGGACAAGAAATGAAGGAAAAACAAGAGCAGGCAGCAGTGACCATCGCTACAGGCAACATGTGTCAGATTTGAGGAGCAGAATCTGAACAGAACCCATATAATATTGAATCCACAGAATACTGAACTCATGTAAATTTATGTAATATAATTTCAGATAATATAATTCAGAATCTGAACATTTATTATCACTCTGCTAAGCTACAGCTCCAGGATATTAAAGAGATCTGAAAACACTTAAATTAACCCTGAAATCTGAACATCGAGGCCAACCTTGTGCAGAAACTATTTGGAAAACAACATCCCAGAGCATCTGGGCTATTCCCAGAGTACCCTCCTGAAATCCCAGGTGTTTACTTACTGGAGCAGTGCAGTTTGACAGGAGGAAGGCAGAGTTCCTTGGCAATATCTGTGTTCTTGATTTTCAGCGCTTCGTCAACCTGGAACACAGGGAGGGTGGTCAGGGGGCCTGGTAGGTACAACACAGGCTGGAAAGGGGTTTGCTAAGAGGGTTTAATGATCCAGAGCCAACAGAATCCCAAGGGCAGAACATTTCAGCTGCCCAGGGCAGTGAGGATTTTGGAATTAAGGAATCTGACAGAGCAGGAATGAACCAACACACACTAATGTCACAGACTGCCACTACTTGAGCTGCTGATCCTCTACCACAACACTGAAGTGCATTTGTTGCTGGTAGAACAGGTTTAAATGATCTCAAACCTCTCTGCAATTAAACTTTCTCCCAGAACTTGCCATCAGCCTGGTTTTGCTCATTGCATAAGACACAAAGTACTTCCCTGGTGGAATCATCACCCCTGGAAGTGCTCAAAAAATGTGGCACCTGGGGACATGGGTCAGTGGTGGACCTGGCAGTGCTGGGGGAATGGTTGGACTCAATGCTCTTAGGGCTTTTTCTAACGTTAATGATTCTCTGACGACTCTTGGAAAAGGCAACTCTTGTTCTAAGTCAGGGCTGGCAGTCACTGCCTTCTAAGCTACAGCACAAATCAGTGCTGGGATTCCCTGGCCAGGGTGATCCCGACAAAGAGCACAGGCTGGTGTGAAGCTCGGAAGCTTTTCCAGGCTCCCTCACCGTTTTCCCTTTGACCCACTCGGTGGCCAGCGAGCTGGAGGCGATGGCCGAGCCGCACCCGAACGTTTTGAACCGGGCGTCCACGATCTTGCCGTTCTCGTCCACCTCCACCTGTGAGAACATTTTGGGAACGCTTCAGTGCCCGCCCGGGGGGAGCAGGGCGGGCCCTGCCCCGGGCACAGGGCACGGGCAGGGCGGCTGTGCGGGAAGGCCACGCTGTGCCCTGAGGGGACACGGGCAGTTTTGTGCCTCACAGTAGCCCCATCTGACCCCTCCGCCAGGTGCCAGCGGGTCCTCAAGGTCACCTGTAGCTTCATGACGTCGCCGCAGGCCGGAGCGCCCACCAGGCCGGTGCCCACGTTCTTGGCGTTGCGGTCGAGGGAGCCGACGTTGCGCGGATTCTCGTAGTGATCCACCACCTACGAAGGCACAGTGTCACCGAGAGCCATCCAGATTCCCCCCCGTCCCTCCCCGTGCCCCACTCGCCCCTCACCTTTTTGTGATAGCCAGCGCGGCCGGGGCGGACCCGGCCCGGGGCCGCAGCAGCACCGCCCCGCCGCCCTCAGCGCCCGCCATCTTACTGAGGGGCGGGCAGAGGACGGCACCCTTTTATAACCTCGGGCGGGGAAGCCACGCCCCCGGCCACTCCCACAACTGCGCCCCCTTGCCTTAGGCCGCCGGCCGCCCGGTTCTCACCGCGACCGCGGGTTCGCTGCGCAGACCGAGCGAGCATTGGCGCCGCCCGCGGGAAGGGCCTCACGCTGCTTCTTAAACGATCAATAAGTAAATAAACGATGGAAGCGCTGTTTCTATTGCGACAGTCGTTTTATCGCGATACCCGGCGCGTGTGCTGGACGCGCTGGCCACAACTCAATATGGCGCCGAGCAGCACCGCGCACGCGCCCGGACCCCCCAGAGGCCATTGAGGGCCGCGCAGCGGGGTGCCCGCAGCATTGCCTGCGACACTTCCGGAATACAGGGTCGCGGGCGCCGCCTGCTCAGCGCAGTTCGGTCCCGCTGCGCGCGCCGACCGAGGCGCGAGAGGAGGAAGTGATCACCGCTTCCCCCCCCTGTTCGGTGGCGGCGCGCGGCCACGGCGGGACGGGCAGCGCCGGGGCAGCCGCGGCGGCCGGCGAGCTCGGCGGCCGGCGAGCGGAGCTGCATAGATGGCGGCGGCGGGAGCTGAGGCGGCGGCCGAGGAGGAAAGAAGCGGCTGCCGAGGGAGACCCCGAGTCGGGCGGAGACTCGGATGACGAGGGGGACTCCGACTCCTCCGGCGACGGCGAGGATGAGGAGAAGGAGAACGAGGCTGAAATCCAGCGGCTGGAGGAGCAGGTGGGCCCGGCGGGCAGCGGGTGTGGCGGGAACGGAGGATAAGCCACGACTGTGCCTGTACTTTGGTGCTGGGAAGTGTCAAGACGTGGATTTCCGTGGCCCTTGCGGGTCTCGTCCAACTCGGGATATTCCGTGGTTTTAAGACGCGAGTGTTTGGAGTCTGAAGTGAAAACTGAGCGTTTGGGGTGGCTTTGTGCGAGGGAAATCAGCGAGTGGAGCCCCAGTGCACCGTTTGTACTCATTGAGGCAGCTCAGCCGCCTGTGGGGGGGCTTCATTGCCTTTGAAGAAATTAAAGCACGTTTTTCTCTGTGAATAGCGACAGGACCCGAGGAAACGTCTGGAGCTGTGTCAGGGGAGGGTTAGGTTGGGTCTCAGGAAAAGGTTCTTCCCCCAGAGGGTGTCGGGCACTGAACAGGCTCCCCAGGGAATGGTCACGGCCCCAAGGCTGCCAGAGCTCCAGGAGCTTTTGGACAACGCTCTCAGGGACAGGGTGGGATTGTTGGGGTGTCCTGGGCAGGGCCAGGAATTGGCCTGGGATGATCTTCGTGGTCCCTTCCAGCTCAGGATATTCCATGAGTTGGCTCTTAAAAAGAGACTCTTCATTCAGGTGCATTGTGCAGCTGGAATCTGTCGTGCTCCTGCTGCATTGGGATTTATGAGCAGTAACCCTGGGAGCTTAGAGCCATGAGCTGAGCACTAAGCTTAACTTAAAGCTCTTTTAAACCTGAAAGCGTTTTTTAAAAATGTCTCTGTGTGACCTGGAAACACCT